TAAATTAATTAACTAATTATAAGGGTATAAAGTGTAAATTTAAATTTTTTATATTAAAATCGTGTGAGTGTGTGAGTGTGCAAATCATGTGAGTATAAAAAAAAATGTGAGGTGGGGGACAAGGTGCAAGGGAGTAGAAAGGTATGCCAGGGGGTATCAATATCAACCCCCTTAAGTAAGTGGCTCGTCGACTGGACAGACTCCGACCAATCACGGCACCACATCGGGGACGCAACAATAGAAACGAGAGTAAGCTATTGTTTTCAACCTTGTGGTATCATGGTTTTATTGGTTTTCATCCTTTAACTTTATTTTTTTTCAAATAAGCCCCTTTAATACGGGTTTTGCTTTGATTTTAATCTCTCTCCCTAACTCGGTCTATCCCTCTTCTGTTAAGTGGCATCCATCATGTGTCCTCCACACGAATATATGATGGTAAGTATATTATTTTAGAACATCCATAATCATGAAACTGCTTATAGGTTTATGATTTTGTCATATTAATATCCTTTTTTTAACATATCAGTTTTTTTTTTATATATTTAATAACTATTTAACCTTCAATCATGTATCAGTCCATGGTTTTTATAATAAAAAAGTGCAATAATAAAAATTATAATAGTTAAAATTACTTATTATAATTAAAAATAAAATAATAAAAAGTTATAATAATAGAAGTCATATAATTAAAAATGGTTAATATACAATATAACAAATAGTTGTAATAAAAATACAATACAATGAAAATAACTATCATTATAATGTGTTACGAATGTATAAATACATTAACGAATATTAAGAAAATTTTAAATAAATTTTCATTACTTATGTATTAGTTTAATGTGAGTAGGACATAAAGAAAAAGGAAGAAGTGGTTCCTGTGGAGAACCTCTCCTCCACAATGGTTCTTAAAACTTTAAACCGATCCATAGACCTCTTTAAAACTATCATTGGAGATGCTCTTAAAAGTTAGGTTTTTTTCCCACTCATTTCACTTTATCATTTTCTCTCGCTCCCTCTCCCTATCCCTCTCTCTCTCTTTCCTTGAATATGTTAATTATTCATTTGTGTTCTTCAATATTTCATGAGTATAAGCTATGAAGATAGCAAGAGATTCATTGGTCTAGGTAAGCCTGTTGTTTTCTATTTCCTCTGTGTTCTTTAAGAGCGAGGTTTTAGACGAGGGTCATCATCAAGGATTTTGAATCTATCCTACTAACCAGTCTTTCCTACATCCATACACTTGCTTTGTGATGATTCCAAGTCCATCATCAAGGATTCTGAATCTAATTATGAGTTTGAAGGTCTAGCCAGTAACCTCAATCTATAAAGAAGGTGATGATTGTTCTTTTTTTTTTCTAGGTTTAGGAAGACGAATAACCCCTTGGAGAAATATTTGTTTTCTTATAGTCGTCAATTAAAAGGAGCCAATTCTCCAATTTTGTTATAGCTGCAAAGATTTGTTGAAAGTCTAAGGGGATGTTTGGATCATGGAATTTGGTGGAATTGGAATATACAAATTTTTGACACAATTCCAAACATGATGTTTGGTTCACAGAATACAAGTGAAGGAATCCTTTTAATTCTTAGAAATTCCTTCGGTCATCGATTTCACAATTCCATTTGATATACCACGGATTTCAAATTCCTTTACGATGAATTCCTTAGCCCTCATCCAAGTTCATCGACGCTATATCTCTATTTGCTCTACTCTGCTTGATCTCTTCTGCTCGATCTCATTCAAAACTGCTCGATCTGGTATGTTCAACCTCTCTCTCTCTCTCTCTCTCTCATTCTTTCTCTATCTCGCTCTGTCTCTCGTGCTTTCTCCATCTTTGGTTTGATTATGCTATTTTCCCGCTTATCATGTTCTTGTTCTAGGGCTTGTTATTCTAACACTATGTTTGTTAGACCCCATAGTTAATTTTTGTAAAAGTAATGAAGAACAAGTGATGAAGGACCAGAAGGCCGATGAGAGACTTTAAGGCAAAACAACTAAGTGTTCAATACAACCAGAAGGCCGATGAATTGAATAAAGATGCGATGAATCGAGCATCTTCATAACCCCTCTGGTTACCAACACTTGGAGTCTTCTACAACAGTTCAACCAGAGGCATACAATGAAGATATCAAGATATGGTTGAACAACGTCTCATAGAAGACAGATAGAGATGATGAATCGACAGCTGGATTATACAAAGTTTTATCTTGTTTGATTTATTTTACATGTTTAGATAAGCTTTATATTTTCTAGAAGATTTACTAGATATTCTCTCTAGATAGTTATCTTAAAATAGCCTTCTAGTATAAATAGGTGGTTAGACCTATTGTAATCATTAACGCTTTTCATAATCATTTGGAATAAAGTGAATCTTCCGGCACTCAAGTATATTATTTGAATATTCATATTTTGTTCTTGAGTGTTCGTCATTTTATTCATCCAAACTATATAATTAGGTTATTCTTAACTTAATTATTAGTGTTATTGAGAGATCTAGGATCAACAATTGGTATCAGAGATAATTGATTGTTCTTCAACCAAAACGATCATTAAAAACTCTCAATTCCCTTTTTCCATTCATTCTCGAGTTCATAAAAAATCTTCTCTAAAAAGCGTAATTTTTCTTTTCCAAATATTAAATGGTCAACTGGAATTCTGCTTATAGTGTTGGTTCTCTCACCAAACCTCCAACTCTTCAAAGAGAAGAGTATCCGCAATGGAGGATCAGGATGGTAAATTTTCTGGAGGGTATGGACATAAATCTCCTCAGATCTGTCATGGAAGGTCCCTACATACCACAGACTCTTGTTCCAAGAGTCCCAGGAACGAGCACGACAGCAGAAGTAGCCGCCTACTACATGCCCAAGGACGAGAAAAATTGGGATGAAAATGATCTGGAACGAGTAGAGGCTGACAAAAAGGCCAAAAGATTGATTATCATGGCCATACCCAATGAAATCTTTCAATCCCTCGATGCATGCACCACAGCAAAGGAACTATGGGACGAGCTGGCAAGTCAACTAGAAGGAGGCGCAAAAACAAAAAAAATCGAAAAGCTCAATGTCTCAACGAGTACACCAACTTCAAAGCTCTTCCTGATGAACCGATTCAGAAGACGTACGATCATTTCAACACATTGATTAATCAATGTCGTCAAAACGGCATCTCCAGGACGAAGGAAGAAAATAATGTATTATTTCTTAAGAGTCTCGGCGATGAGTGTACACAGCTATCGATGTCTCTCCAAACAAATCAGGACTTAAACAGTTGGTCACTTCATGACGTCTATGGAACACTTGATGCACAAGAAAATGATATTATGAAGAGAAAAGTGTCCATCGATAGACCTCTTGCTCTTGCTGCAGAAGAAAAGGACGTTTCAAGGGCCTCCACCAGAGACCACGGGAGAAAAGGCAAGAAGGCACTGGTAGTAGAATCAGAATAGGAAGACGAGACATCCGAAACCAACGATGATCTCAAAACCTTTGCCAAGTCTCTGGCCTTGATAACAAAACAGTTCCAGAGGAAGTTCATCAAAAAGTCATTTGAGCGAAGAGACTCCAGAAGGGAGAAGTTCCAGCCTTCCTATGAAAAGAAGCCGATGAAGTTCCATCAGCGGGAAGAAAGAAGAGAGGGAAGAGAAGATAGAGAACATAGAAGAGAGGAGAAAAGAGAAGACATAGACGGAAGGAAGAATAACTTTTGCTGCTTCAGATGCGAAAAAATCGGTCATTTCTCAAAAGAGTGCAAAGGACATCTGGTGAAGGATGCTGATTATTACAAGAATAAGTATAAATACAATCCTAAAGAGCGAAGCCTAATGGCTAAAAAAGAAAATTAGGTGTCTGATTCTTCGTCTGATGAAGAAGACAAGGCACTCATTTGTCTCATGGCTACGTCCAATGCAGAATCCGCCTTTGACTTTGATGAACAGGTATGTGAGTCTTCTATCGATGAAACCAACTCTGCTCCATCAGAGCTAGAGTTAAGGGTAATGAAGCTTTCAGAGGATTTCTTAAAGCTTAAAGAAAAATTAAAATTTGAAAAATCTGAAAGAATCAAAGCGGAAAAAGAAGTCAGTTTCTACAAAAGAGAGACTGTCGGATTGCTTATTGACTAGACTTTTGAAGTTGGACTCATATGAGTTCTAAGGATTTCATAAGTTGAGTAGTTTTATCATCTTATTACATTTGAAAAAGTATTTTCTTTGATTGAATATTGAATTGTTCTTAAAAATATGTTACCCGCATTTGTCTGCAAATCGGACACTGTTGTCTGGATTCGGGAATT